TGTTCACTTGTCTTTATTTTGAATGAAAACAATATCCATCTATCTTGAATACAAGTCGAGATATTTGCGAATGAAGGAGGTGTAGGTCACCTGTTTTCAGGGGTAAAATTAATGAGAAAATGGCCGCCAAAGATAGTTATTTCCTTAGCTTAAGAGTCCGTGGTCACTAAAAATTTACATTTTTTGTGCCTTTAATCAACGTTTTTCAGAAAAATCCACACAGAAATGAGTTCTTTAATGGGCATGAAAGGTGTTGAGCCAAAAGACAAAAATTTAATAAAAATTCACAAGCCTGCGGAAAAATGCAAGTTAATTCATTTTGATTATTTTGACGAGAGCCTGATTCCACCACGCTGCCTCACATATTATTTGTTTGGGGACAATGAAACACATTGACAGAACAAGTGTGATTCAGAGCAGGGGAAAACAAGACAGATAGACGGAAAAAGAACAATAGAGGGAAAGACAGAAATATTATGATCTAATCACCCTACCAGCAACCTATATTTGAATAACTATGTTCAAGTACGATAGATCAAGATGTATCTTCATTTTATGTTGAATTAATCAACCAAGTCTGGGTTAGCTTTGCCACACAATAAAAGAATGTGTGCATACCCAAGCAAACATATCGCATTTCGTGAAAGCAATGCATGCTCTCGGCAATGCACGTCTGAAGCTTGAACATTTCTTTTATTATGTAGAAAGTACTTATGTACACGTAATATTTCTAAGATAAGATAAGATACATCTTTATTGTCCAGATCCTGGTACATTGGTTTGGCATTTCACCACGTGTACACACACACACACACACACTCACTCTCACACCCACACATCCACACACTCACACACACTCACACACACAATCATGCACACACACGCAGGCTTACAATCACATGCATAATATAAATGAGCAGCAATATAAACAATAATAATCTTAAGCTAGTACATACTCAATACTCAATGTTATTCTGATGCATGCTCTAAGGTCACATGAATACTTATAACAAGATGGTTAAGATGGAAACATGTTGATGGATGTTGGTAAAAATGATCTTCTGTATCTTTCTTTTTTTACAGACCAGAAGCCTAGGTCTTTTACTTCTGACATATGTTTTTATTTGAAGGAACAAGGGATGTTTGTTGTCTAAAAAGATGGAATGAATTTTTTTAGTGCAAGCAGTTATGTACAATTCATCCAAGTAGGGGAATGTAAATGTTGAAATTTTACATGCTTTCCTTATTAGTCGATTTCATTTTTCCTTATTTTGTTGTCTTGGGTTCCCGGCCCATGTTGTTATACAAAAATTGATCACACTTTCTAACCAAACTTGTAATGACATAGCAGGGAATAGCTTTACGACTCAAAAGAGTGAAACATTTGGTTCCCTCAGAATTACAAAGATCTATCAGACATTTTTTGCCCTTTTGAGTAACTAAGACCATGAGATCAGAAATCAAATTGTCTATCTGCTCTATCAAAATCGT